AACCAGAGGTCACCCTTGAAGAATTACTGGATGAGCCGGAGATCATCCAGGAACTGAAGCAGCATAATTCGAAACTCATAGAATATCTACGCGAGGACCATGTCTTGAAACGGCTTATGGACTATGTCACGGCACCGAGTCTGGTGAATGATGACGACGAAGAAAATGACCGAGACGATACGCACGAGAAGGATGTGTCCGGGAAGGGACAACCCGATACCGCCTCCCCGCCGGCTGAGCAGGAAACCAAAGAGGCCGATTCGTTGAAGGATGTCTTGGACCCGGATGATTTGGACAAGGTCGAGAAGACCCGTCTGAAGCATGCGTATATTGCGTGCGAGATTCTCTCCTCCGAAGCATGGACCATCCTGGAATCCATAATAGAAAACCCATCGAACTTGCGCGACTTCTGGGGATTTCTCCGACGACCATCACCCCTGGACTCGCTGCAGGCGAGCTACTTCACGAAAGTCAATGAAACCCTATTTGATAAGAAGACGGAGGAGATGTTGGACTTCCTGAAGTCCTTGGATGGAATTATCCCCGCTCTGTTGCAGCATATCGACAATCCAATGGTCATGGATCTGCTGCTGAAGATTATCAGCTTGGAGAAGGCTGAGGGTGGTCAGGGCACCGTGGACTGGCTCAAATCTCAAGAACTGGTGCCTACGCTGCTTTCCTTTCTCTCGCCCGAATACCCTGGTTCAGTTCAAACATCGGCGGGCGATTTTCTCAAAGCCATCATCACCATCTCCGCAAACGCCAACCCGAACGACCAGTCGTGTATTGGCCCGAACAGCCTGACCCGCGAGCTGGTTTCTGAGAAGTGTATCCAGCAGTTGATCAACTCAATGCTCGGCGGCGGCAACCCGCTCACCGTGGGCGTGGGTATTGTCATCGAAGTCATTCGCAAGAACAACTCTGACTATGACCCTGATAATATCGGTGGAGCTGAATCGATGCCTACACCATACGATCCGATTTATCTCGGCGACTTGCTCCGCCTATTTGCTCAGCATATCCCCAATTTCATGTCCTTGATCCGAAGCAGCAAGCACACCGTGTCTGACGGCGTCAATGTGAAGACCGTCGACCGAGAACGATTGAATTCCGCGTGGGGTGCGAAAATCGAACCGCTTGGATTTGACCGCTTCAAGACCTGCGAGCTGATGGCGGAATTACTCCACTGCAGTAACATGGGTCTTTTGAATGAACCTGGGAGTGATGAGTATGTTGTCCAGCGGGACGCGGAACGCGAGAAGTTGATTCGTGAGGGTGCTTTTGATCCTCACCGCGACGATGCTTCGGGTATTGACTACAATGATACCACGGCCGATTTCACCAATGGATCGGCACCTGATTCGGGCTCGCCAGAAGATTTGAAAAGTTCGGAAGTTCATCACGCCGGTGAAGAGGACGGTTTTGAGGATGTTGGTTTATCTGGTGTACTGGTCGATCACGATAAGACCGAGACAGAGGAGAGTGCCGGTGCACCAACAGAGCCACAACAGACCCCTCAGCCGGAGACTGAGTCCTCTTCTAAGTCCGAGCCTGAGGAGACCGCGAAGAGCGCTGCCAACCCCGAATCGTCTGACCGCGCTTCACCCACAGCTGATCTCACTGATAAGATCGGTGGCATCAAGCTTGAAAATGAACCGTCGAACGAGATCCAGGTCTCTACGCAAACTGTACAGGAGACGTCCCCTGTGCCTGCGCGACCAGAAGATGTACCGCCTCCTCTCTTTGCAGCGAAGGAAGAAGCAGCCGAGTCAACCTCGGCCCCTACCGACCAGCCTCAAGAGGGCGAACCCGCCCAAGAAGCTGAATTTGCAGATCATTCCCACGAAGAGTCCGCAGATGAATATATCCAATACGACACCGATGGTCGCCCTGTCGTGGGTGATTATTTGAAGATCATGTTTGTGGAGAACAAAGTGGTGCCTACGATACTGGTAAGTGTGACCTTGAGAGGAGCTAAGACAACGCTTCTGTTCTGACAGCGACTTCTAGGGATTCTTTTACCGCTTTCCTTGGAACAACTTTCTACACAATGTTGTCTACGATGTCGTGCAGCAAGTCTTCAATGGCCCCATGGAGCGTGGCTACAACAGGGCCCTAGCCATCGATGTTTTTGACACGGGTCGGATCACGACCGAGATTGTTGATGGCCAAAAACGTAGCGATGAGGCCCAGCGCACCAAGCAGATCCGACTCGGCTACATGGGCCATCTCACGCTGATCGCGGAGGAAGTGGTTAAGTTCAGCGAGCGCCACCCTCCAGAATTGCTCTCACGATCTGTCATGGACAGTGTTTTGAACCCGGAGTGGATCGACTATGTTGAGCAAACTCTTTCCGAAACCCGGGAACGAGACAATGCCATTCTGGGCGGCGTTCGCCCAGACATGTCGGTTGGGCCTCGCCAGACCGTCCTGAACAATGTCGGTCCCAGCCAAAGCTTTGGAACCTCTTCAGCTCTGGCGGACGCGGGTCTGAATGGCGGAATCGGCGGTTCGGGGTTCCAAGGATTTGATATCAATCAAGGAGGGGTATCTGGTGGCGCATTCGGTGCAGGTGGCGGTACCTCGCTGCTCAGTGGTTTTGCGAGCTCCAGCGACGATGAGGATGAAGATATGGAGGACCAGGATGACAGAGACTCTGGCAATGCCGAAACAGGCGATACCGAGAATGTGGGTGATATTCTTCCGACAGATATCGAGCTGCGCGTGTTATGACTGCAAAGCGAGTTCGCCATGCCTCCCTCGACCTTGCCCTCCCTCTGCCTTTGTTCATGTAGCCCCGGTGTTTCACTCCGGGGCATTGGTCTCTCCGCCTCGCCTGTCATGCCTACGGACCGAGCTCTCATCGCACTTTGAGAAACAGCATCGAGCGCCATTGACTACTCCTATGTTCTGTGTTATTTTCATCTGAAGTGTTTTTGAGTCCGTGATCTCATTTATGATAACACGCTGTTTTCTCACGGCAGCCCATTCACCCAGTCCCTCAGTGCATTGACGTCGACGCTAACATGACTCTTTGACTAGGTATCCACGAATTCCACCAGCCAGCCTATCCCGATCCTGCCTCCACCTCCTGCTCCATTAAGCCTTGGTCCCTCACGTGCACGTCGCCAGCTCGCCGCGCGGCTCGCCGCGCAGAAGCAGCAAGCAGCAGACAATGCTGATGCTGAAGGCGAGGAAAGAAAGACAGAAGACGAAGAGAACCGAGACTCGTCCTGGCCCTCCAGGAACCCATTTGTGATTGCCGGTGTCGATGACGACGCTGATGGCGGCAGCATGTTCCCCAACACAGACTTTGCCTCAAGGGAAGCCGAGCAGAGTTTCTCGCCCACTTTCGCGGAACCGGGTTTCAGCCCTCCGGACTCGCTATCAACGGGCTCATCAGAAGATGACGCCGACGGCCACGCCGAGGCCGTGCGCCGTCGTGTCCGCGTGCCCTTGGAAGTTGAGGATGACGAAGACGAAATGGGCGAGATGGTCGCACCCAGCGGGACAGGGTTAGTGGACTCTGACGAGGAGGAGGAGGCCATCATCAATGAATCCCTCGGGTACTCGAACTTGACTGGCCCAGCGCGGTATAGCAATTTCGGCCGCTCGCGCGCCGTGGGATCGCACTTTGAGGACGACGACGATGAACAGAACGATTCCAGCGACGGAGAGGATGATGGACTGGTAGAGATCATGGTTCCTGGCAGGAAATCCTCCACGTCGAATTAATCCTCTTCGTCCTGGGTGTTCGATCATTTCATCTACATGCATTCTTCGCATTTCTTGTTTTCGCGTTTCCATTTCCGTTTCTTTTTTCGACAATGCTGCCCGCAATGGAGAGAATACCTACGATTGATGAACTGGCGGGGGTTTGCTTCTCTACTTCGCTACGGATCGGAATTGTTCATCCTATCCACTCATCATCGTTATGTGCCCTGGCGTCTGTATATACCTCCTTCTGTCTCATCTCAGGGGTAATCTTGGTGCCCCTCCTGCATTCTGACCATTCTGAGTGCTTTTCTCTGCAAGTCTTTCGCGTGTGGTTTTTTCTCTCTTGTTTCCTTCTGTGCGTGCATCACACATCCTCTGCGGAGTGCTTGACGAGTGTTATGTTTTTTCTTGTTCGTTTCTGATAGTATAGCTGGTTGATGGTTGGTTGGACGAGCTACGTTGTGACATGTACGATAGTTGGTGTGTGAGTTAGAGATGAGGGCGAATTGATGTTTTGATCATTTATTGAATTAGGTAGAAAATACCGCTGTAGCCGTGTCTTTATTTTGTTTGCCAAGTTACAACTACATGTATTATGCTGCCAGGTATCAGGCGTTGAGTGGTTCGTTGAAATTCAAATACTGAGCTTGTGGCGACGGCTACAGAGCAACAAGATCTCCCCTTTCACGGTTCTGGTGGAGATCTCATCTTGAACCTGTGGTGCTTGTCCACCACCTCAGGTAGGGCATTTGACTTGCTCGAATCGTCCTCACCGATTGATGCCCCTTCTTCCACCCGACCACTCCGTGACAGGATCATGTCTGAACGGGCGTTTGCGCAACCACCATCTAAGCAAGCATCTTGCCAGCAAAACTTTTGAACAATTTACCGATTGAACGTCACGCTTGAGCCTCCTGTTAGTGATGGTTGCCGAGTTACTCTTCGTTTAACATGGTTTTTCCCCCTTAAATAGGTATACAAAGGTTAAGAAGACTAATCGTACGTCTTTACTAGCTTACCTATATGTGTACTGAGTGAAACATTACAAAAAATTGATTGAATATGGGGAACCCTATACTCACACTACCTACCGCATTATGTACGGTCAAAAAAAGTGGGACCGATCTCCCGCGACTCAGCTTTTCCAGCGAAGCTTCAACATCCCTTCTTTGCCATTGTACTAATGTGCGGGTTCACATGAGAGAAATATACTTCTGTTCCCTATAGGGTATTATTTTTCTGTGGCCATCTAGACTTGACGCCACTGTTCTCAGACCAGAAGAATGTCAACGTCTCCGTCGGCGGGGTGAGTTCCTATATCATAAACCGGAAAAGACCACACTTCTAACATCCCCGTCCAGCTCTTCCCCCTCCCTAGAAGCCCACAACAAGCTCATAGACTGGGTCCGCAGCCATGGCGGTTCCATTTCCGACAGCGTGCAAGTTTCCCAAGACTCCACGCGAGGCGTTCACCTCCAAGTGAAAGCCGACTGGCCGGACCCAATCCCCAAAGAAACACGGGTAATAAGCACACCGGTGGGGATAACGCTATCCTATTTTAATGCCATCGACCACCAGCACCAATCCTCCTCCAATGAAATATTGTTTTCCAGCGACGGCTTGGTCTTCCCGCGTGCATTCATTGACGCCGTCGGGCGCGAGGAAACCACAATCTTTTTCCTGATGGGCCAGTTCCTGCGCGGTGAAAGCAGTTTCTGGTTTCCGTATCTGCGCACGCTTCCCCAGCCGGGCCAGTTGACTACGCCGCTGTTTTTTGGGGAGGAGGATGTGGATTGGATCCAGGGGACGGGAATCCCGGATGCGAGTGTGCAGCGGTTTCGGCTTTGGGAAGGGCGGTTTGATGCGTCTATTGCGAAGCTTGAAGAAGTCGAGTTTGAGAATGTCGATTCCTATACTTGGTGAGAATATCCCGAGTTGGTTTGTCTCTGGGATAGAAATCTGACTGGTTGGTATATAGGGAGCTCTATCTCTGGGCTTCGACGATTATTAGCTCTCGAGCTTTCTCATCGAAGGTTCTGGCTGGTGCCGTTCCGGATGGGAATCTCTCTGATGGGGATGGGGTGTCTGTTCTGCTGCCTCTGGTTGATCTGCCTAATCATCGGCCACTGGCCAAGGTTGAGTGGCGAGCTGGCGAGGAAGACGTTGGGCTATTGGTTCTAGAAGAGATTGCTCCAGGACAGGAAATCTTCAACAATTACGGGCCCCGGAATAATGAGCAATGTATGTTGATTGCCGCGGTTGTCCCAGACACTAAACTAATATATTGGCAGTGCTGATGAATTACGGGTTCTGTCTCGCCAATAACCCGACCGACTACCGGATCGTCAAACTGGGAGTGCTGGACAACAGCCCGCTCACGGAAGCCAAAGACCGACAGCGGCAGTTGTACCCCGAGCTGGCTACAACAACCGAAGAGCCGTACTACATCTTCAGCATCCTCTACCCGCTCCTCGCCCGCGATACACCGATGGAGCACACGATCGTCTCCCCAGCCCTATTCAACGCACTCACCGTGATGGAGGGTAATCCGCGCGAGCATGCTATGATCGAGATCACCGAGTCCGAGATCCGCATCCCGCCCGCTTACGGAACTGGACACAGTACTCTTGCAGCGTTGAGCCAGATCAGCTTCGAGCTGATTGCGCATATTGCGTTGTTGAAGGACAGCGCGGAAGGACTCTCAGCGCAACCGGCCAACTTGAACCAGATGCATACCCAGATTTACCGCAATGGTCAGATTGCACTCGATCAAGCCGCCCTCATCATCATCTCGTGGACTCTCACCCGAGCAAGGGAGCAGCAGCGAGGCGAGACCTGGGACGATATCAAGACCCTCTTGAACGAGCACATGGCCCGCATACCCGCCGACCTCCTGCCCGAGGAAATCCTATCGCGCATCCGGGTCCGCATCCTCGAGCGCGAGTCCATCGTGCCCAAGAACGGGGTCCTCTTCCGACTCACCGAGCTGTTTACTCTCCTCCCGACGGAGATGCAATGTCCCAGCCAGCAACACTTTAACCACGTCTTCGACCGCGCAGCACAGGTCATTCCTGTCGTGCGCAGTGTTCCGAACTTGCTTTTCGGGACGCTGCTTTGCTTGCTGGTTGCTACATACCGCTCACAGGCCCCACTGTCGGCGCGTCTGACTCGATGGTTGGAGTTTCTTTTCGAGGCATATCCCCCGCCATCCGTGGCTGGTCATGATCTTGCTGTGGATGAAGAGGTGGATACGCTTCTTGCTGCGTTTGATGAGTTTGTGAACGTGGAAGACGCCCCACGATGGGCTGCTGATGATGGAGTTACTTGGTTAGTCAATGATAGTGGGTGGTTGGATGTGAACTGGCTGCGGTGGGCGTGGTGGGTTGCTGAAGCAGAGACAGTGCTGGTGCCGCCTGAGCCATTGCAAATACTGGGTGGTGGACCAGTGCAGATGTTGAAACAGGCGTGCTTGTATGTGCCTTAGTTTAGGTATTATGTCATCGCCCGAACACCTGCAATGGCTGGAATGGAGGATCCTGACTCAGCAATGTCACATGACCATTCCCACCCAATCACAGCCCACGTAATCGGCAACCGCAGGAATTGCCCAGCAGCCGTCGTCCTTTCCCTCTCCAGGACCCCGTTGGATTCACCCGCATCGCCCTCCCTCCTCCCCGTCTACCCGTCATCATGATATCTCGAGCGGCGGCTCCCTCCCCTTCCTCCCTCTCCCACCTTTCTTCCCGCTCCCTCCGCGCCCAGGGGGCGGCCGCCCGCTCTTTCGCGTCCGTGCAGGAGGCACCTCCCGTGCGGCACCATGGCGGGCTCCAGGACAAGGATCGGATCTTCACAAACCTCTACAATCACCATGGAGCAGATCTCAAGTCGGCAATGAAGTTTGGTGATTGGCACCGGACCAAGGATATCATTCTCAAGGGCGATGATTGGGTGAGTGTCCCTCCCATTGTGGCAGGATGCGAGAAGGAAAAAGAAAGTGCAATTGCTAATTTGACGGTGAATAGCTCATCTCCGAGCTGAAGGCTTCAGGTCTCCGTGGCCGCGGTGGTGCTGGTTTCCCCTCGGGATTGAAATACGTAAGTGCGATGGGAGAGCGTCGGACAACAACACGCGGATGGAGCTGACCAATGGTTCTTCGCACCCAATTAGTCTTTCATGAACTTCAAGGATTGGCAAAAGGACCCCCGACCCCGGTATTTGGTCGTCAATGCGGACGAGGGTGAGCCGGGAACCTGCAAGGACCGAGAGATCATGCGCAAGGACCCCCAGAAGCTGATCGAGGGCTGTCTGGTGGTGGGCCGGGCCATGAACGCCAACGCCGCCTACATCTACATCCGCGGCGAGTTCTATCACGAGGCCACCGTCCTCCAGCAAGCTATCAACGAGGCGTACCAGGCCGGGTACATCGGCAAGAACGCTTGCGGCACCGGATACGATTTCGACGTCTACATCCACCGGGGCATGGGCGCATACGTCTGCGGCGAGGAGACATCATTGATCGAGTCGCTCGAGGGCAAGGCGGGCAAGCCGCGCCTGAAGCCGCCTTTCCCCGCTGCGGTTGGTCTGTTCGGCTGCCCCAGCACCGTGACCAACGTCGAGACTGTCGCCGTGACGCCCACCATCATGCGCCGCGGTGCCAGCTGGTTCTCGTCCTTTGGCCGCGAGCGTAACGCCGGCACCAAGCTGTTCTGTATCTCGGGCCACGTCAACAACCCCGTCACCGTGGAGGAGGAGATGTCCATTTCCCTGCGCGAGCTGATCGACAAGCACTGTGGAGGTGTGCGTGGCGGCTGGGATAATCTGTACGCTGTTATCCCCGGCGGCTCGTCCACGCCCGTGCTCCCCAAGTCCGTGGCCGACGACCAACTCATGGACTTTGATGCCCTCAAAGACTCACAGTCCGGTCTGGGCACTGCTGCCGTCATCGTCATGGATAAGTCCACCGACATCATCCGCGCCATTTCCCGTCTGTCCACCTTCTACAAGCACGAGAGTTGCGGCCAGTGCACCCCCTGCCGCGAGGGCAGCAAGTGGACTATGCAGATGATGCAGCGTCTGGAGAAGGGTAACGCTCGCGAGCGTGAGATCGATATGCTGCAGGAGCTTACCAAGCAGGTCGAGGGCCACACCATCTGCGCTCTCGGCGAGGCCTTTGCCTGGCCCATCCAAGGTCTGATCCGTCACTTCCGGCCGGAGCTGGAGGCCCGCATCCGCCAGTACGAGAAGGAGCTCGGCGGTACTCCCTACGCCGGTGGCTGGAACCCGGAGAGCCGTGCAGAGGGCAAGCTGATTTCCCCCGGCATGTAAACCTTGCAAGCAGTGTTTGTTTTAAAAAGCGAACCGAAACAGGGACCAACCAGTAGATGGCCACCCTTTATATCTGGTCTCAGGAGTTTACCTGTTCTTATATCTCCTTGTTTTTCTCCTCTTGACCCTGACCCCTCCTGTTTCCTATGTCTCTTCTAAATTTCCTTCTCTCCATGTACAGTTGTCGGTAGCAAAATCCATGCAATTCATGTTTTCGCCGTGGTTCACATAAGGTAGTGTCTTTGTGGCTGATGCAATAAACATTGACTTTTGTGATCGGGGTTCTATGAAATCAAGCGCAACAAAACATTGTTGCTTGCCTCCCTGACTTGAATCTGCGGAAGAAATGTTCGCCTGCTTTTTCTCAGTCTCATCTACAGGCATGATCTCCGTATGAACAGCATTCTTGTCCTTCCTCGGAGCATCTTTCCTCTCATTACACTTACTTTCCACCATGCACTCGTTACACCCTGTCTTCCTACACTTGCACAGTCCCATCCTTCTGATTCTTCCTCTTTTCAGCCTTGGCCAGCCTCTCTTCCCGCCAATGCATCCCACGCTCATTCTCCAACCAAAGCAACGCCAAAGCCGTTGCCATCAACAGCCCCAAAAACCCAAAACACCACCCCCAGCCCATCCCCATCAACATCTGATCGATCACCGCCGCACCGACAGCTCCAAGCCAGCACCGCACCAGATTGCATGCTGCCGCCGCCGTGGACGCCCTGTCCGAGAAGAGATCCACCAGCAACGTGTTGAGCGTATTCAGCGAAGAAATGAAACACAGCCCAATGATGAACTGCAGAATTAGTGGCGCCGCTAGCGGAGCTCGCTGCTCCAGCACCCAGCCGTATGGCAGGTAGGCCGCAATCCCGAGCGCCATCAGCGGGAAGACGGTTTGGAGCCGCGTGCGCTCGATCGGGAATGCGCGTAGGTCGTCGCCCTTTTTCCTGTCTACGGGGAAGTTGAGCTTGCGTGCTACCCGGCGGTAGTTGTAGTCGACTAGCTTGCCGTTTACCATGGCGCCGATGCAGGCACTGATGCCTAGAGGGCTGGAGGGTTCGCAAGTTTGTTAAAGGCCTTGTTGTGGGTTGGTGAGAATGGTGGTACTTACATGAAGCATAGGCCGATCTGCAGCTCGTTGAATCCATATAATCCGCCGAACAGGTTCGGTACAGATGTCAACAGTGCTATGTTTGAGAACATGACTAGTCCAATGTACGAGATGATGATGATGGCATCTTTCTCCAGCAAGATGACGAAGGAGTTCAGTGGGTTCGGGAACGAGATTCGCGTGGACCGGTGTTGCTGTGGCGCGTCGGAGCCATTGTTTTCTCCCTCGCCCTTGTCATCGTCTTTTTTGTTTCGTCGTCGCGCAGCCAGGTACTGAAGCAACGACATGCGCCACCACTCTCGCGGCGGGACGCTGCCATTTCCAACAATCTTGCGCGCTGTCTCTGGCATGGTCATTATAAAGAGAACCAGATACCCTCCACTGATGATAACCAGGAACCAGAAGACACTGCGCCACCCCAAAAACTTCGCCAGCAGCCCACCGATCACAGGCCCCAATGCAGGAGCAACCATAACCCCCGCCGCCATGGGACCAATGTATGTGCCGCGCTCAGCAGGCGTGGCAATGTCGGCGATAACGCCATACCCAAAGGACACAGTCCCACTACTGCCGGCGCTCTGCACGCAGCGCAGCACCAACAGCGCCGCGAAGCTGTCTTGCAGCGCGAGCCCAATGTTCGCAGCCGTGTACACCGTGAACGCGAGGATATACGCCGGGCGCCGCCCGCCGGTGTCGGCGAACGTGCCCATGAAACTAGGCGCCAGGCCCTGCAGGATCATGTACGTCGTGATGGTGAGGTTGACCAGCGCGGTCGTAAGGTGGTAGTTTTCTACCAGCGTCGGCATCACCGGGTAGTAGATCTGTCCTGATAGTGGGGAGAAGAATGAAGCCAGTGTTACCATCACCACTATGAAGCGCTTTTCGTGTTTGCTGAAGGCTGAGTGTGGCTCGTCTTGTTGGTCTCTTGCTGGTGTCGGGATGGTCTCCTTTTGTGCTTCTTCTGCTGACGGGTCTGAGACTCTGCATGCTCCTGCTGCTGCTGCATCCGCCGGTTGGTCCGTCATGATGGCAGGGTTGTTGTTGATATGGGTGATTGTATCTGGCGTCTCGGTGCTTGGTTGTTTCTTGTCGGTATGCTCGTCCTCGCTGCGTCGTGTTACACTCTCCCCTGGGCCATCAGTCCTGACTGCTGGATCTTGTGCGTGGCTCATCTTGTTGGAATTAGAACAACAGGTAGACAGGGCAGATGATGGTATCCAGTTGGGAACCAAATCACTCTTGCCCTGAGAGTCTAGACAGAGACAGCAGTCGATCGGGGGGTTGTATTTGGCAGCTGCACCGACGATTATCACGAACGAACGTCACAAGCAAGCGCTGTCCCCCCGCTGAGGTATCAGGCAGAGACAAAAAAAAAAGAAGAAGAAACTCGTCAGCCAAGCCCGATACAAGACAGACAGTCCTCCCTCTTGTCCGGCCTTTGAAACCACCGCGAACCGGACGAAAAGTCCGCGTGGGTGTGCTGTATGTGGTATGTGCGTGCGCAGATTGCTGCGTGTATTCAATTCGAGTACTATCTTTCGGACAGATGGATCAGACGAGACTGTGACACCAGGCTTGAACCTGGTCCCTGAGAACGAAGCCGAAAAGCTGGGGGTCTGTGCACCGGGTTGGACGAACGGGGTGTTGATGGTTCTTCGGGTGTTCTAACTTCTGTTCCTGTCGCACAAACCAGGGGGAGATACAACGTTATGTACCAGGATCGAAGCAAAGCTCTTCAAGGACAAACAAAAGAACTTTTCTCTCGAGGTTGCTGGCAATAATGAACAAGAAAGCGATGATTTTGTAGGCGTAAAATCAATTGAGGCGCCGCACTTTACTCGATGCTCGAGCCAATCATCGCATCCCGGGACCGGGTGTGGAAACCGCTACCGGCATGTGTGTAGATGCGGTCTGGTTGGCTATATTTATGAGGTGAACTCTATAGAAAAGGAATAGGAAGTAGTAATAACTAGAATGGCACTGAGCGAGGGACTGAAGGTGAAGCGCTCGTTTTCAATATGGCGGGAAGAACGGAGGGGGGCGCACTGTCACTGCCGAGGAGGATCTTTATGTCGAAGAATAGGTACCATCTGAGTGCTCTATAATCGGTTTGGGTTAAAACATAATTGTAATTTGATGCAGAATAATGAACGACCTCCATCCAAGGTTCCAAAGTTGTACCTATCCTTGGCTCTATACACAGCTCAGCACAATATGTCCTCTCCGCGCACAAACCCACTTTCCAGAGACCATTTTGCAGACTAAAGCGGTTTTACCGGCGTGGCGAGATGAGACCACGACCTGGGGCGCCAAAGTGGGCCTGGCACAGCACCTGTCAGTATGTTTCTTTTAAATTGAAAACTCGCTGTGATTCACTATTACTGTATAGACCGAATAGGACTGAGGCGCCTTGATGAGATCTACATGTAGTTAGATGATTTGGCAGTTCCGGAGACCTGGTTAACTAGAGAGACATGCTTTATCGTATGTACCCTGGGCGGCTTTTTATGATTGGCCACGTATGCTGTAGGTATTATTGTTGGGCAAGGCACAGATCATTCCCAGATCTGGGAAGAGCTTCTGCAGATGATACCCGTCCTAACGTTGCAAGCGTAGTATCCTAGCAATGGAATCAAACCCCGCATAATTAATAAACGATGTCATCGCCATTTCATCCCAACGCCCTGTAGTAATTGGAGGTTTGGTCTACGTGGCAACTAGTTCACAAGCTCTGCATCCAAATATTCGATGGTGATCCCATTAGGTTCATTCGAGAAGAACGGCGGAGCTTCAGTGATCCGCGGAGTCACCTGGGTGACCAGTCATAAGCAAGGCCCGCTTTCTGGGGCCAGAATTATGGTGTGCTGTTGTGTTCTTTTTATTCATAATTATCAGCAGATAAATTGTGCCCTTTGTTACATGCGCTGAGATGATGCTGCTCCACCGGGCTCCGTCCAATGGCGGCTAGGCCCGCGATAGCAAGCTTTATGGCTGGAAGCTTGGTAACGCTAGCTCCTTTTGGCGACCCCACCAAGTTGGTATCCTTGGATGCATTCGGTGTCACCGGTGGTGTTTGGTCCAGTCCGTGGATATCCGAGTGATGACTTGCTTGACACATAAAGCTAAAAAGCTACGGGTCGCCCCCAAAATTTCCCCCTCTCGTCACTGCCGCCGGTTACCTACTAAATACTCTGCCTTTGCCCTCTCTTGCTACGCAACACCTTAAAATGGCCAAGGTAGGCAATTTGGCCCTCGATGGGGCGGACCCCCGTCTCTACCACGAAAAGGAGCACGAAAAGACGGTCGACGTACCTCCCGAGTACAGCCCAAGCGCAATCCGCCCGCAGCATCGCAAACTACATGATACTCGCGTGACCTTCGAAGAATATCTCTACTATGCTAAACGGACCCGTGCCGAGGAGGATAGCCTGCCAAGGCCGGAGAGGGAATCTGGGATTTTATCGATCATCTTCCCTTCAAAATCGGACGGGGGCGTGAAACAAGAAACGGAGCATGTGTCGCAAGATGCCACTGCCATGAATACCAGTGATCCGGCGAATCGTATGACCATCACGGACGAGGAGTGGGCTAATGCATCCCGGGCGCTTCGGACCGCAAGCCGAGGTGCGATTTTCTATCTGATCACTACCGATATTCTGGGACCGTTTGGCTTGCCTTACGCGTTTGCTACCATGGGCTGGGGGTAAGTCGGCGTCCCTTTGGGTTGAGAACATAGGTGCTAACCAAAGCTGTTAAGCCCCGGCGTGGCTCTGTACACCGTTTTCGCTGGCCTCGCTGGTTACTCCGGATGGCTCCTCTGGGAGACCTTCCTCGGTCTGGACTCTTACCAATTCCCGCTGCGCAGTTTCGGGGACCTTGCTTTCCGTTTGTACGGACGTCCGCTACGATATTTGTTCAACGTCCTACAGAGCATCCAGCTGATCCTTAACGTCGGATTGATTGTCATTTCCAACGGAGAAGCTCTGTCCCAAGCGACGAAATTCAAGCTCTGCTTTATCATCTGCTGTCTGATCTGGGCCCTGGTGGGATTCGTCCTTGGCCAGATCCGTACTCTCCAGAAATTCGGATGGCTGGCTAATGCAGCTGTCTGGTTCAACCTTATTTGCATGTTCATCACGATGGGCGGTGCCGCTCACTCGCCTCCAAACTTTGCTGGTGCCAGCCAGGCTGCCGGTGCTAATATCGGTGACGGCTCCTCCGTTCAACCAGTTAACGGTGTTTTCCCGCCTGTGAAGACCACCGGCGGCCTTCCCGATCCCAGTGATTTTGCTGCCAGTGTCAGTGGTGCCATGCAGGCTATCTTTGCCTATGGTGGTGCCATGGTTTTCCCCGAGTTTATGGCCGAGATGAAGCGCCCTAAGGATTTCCTGACTGGCATGTGGGCGGCACAAGTCTTCATTTACTTCTGCTACATGCTCTACGGCCTGTTCATCTATGGGTACCAGGGTCAGTACACGATTAACCCGACCTACCTTGGAATTAGCAAATATAGCATCCAGACGGCTGGCAATGTCTTCGCAATGCTCAGCGCGTTGATTGCGGCCGGTCTGTACGGCAACATTGGTTTAAAAGGTAAGCCCGCCATGGCACGTTCTCATGAAAGGGTCTGAACTAAATGTTTTTCTCAGTTCTCTATAACAACGTCATGGTCGAAATATTCCGTTGCCCTCCCCTCACAACCAGAGCGGGCAAGTGGATGTGGTTCGCCTTGATCCCAGTCTACTGGGCCGTTGCCTTCATCATCGCTGCCGGCATCCCCAATTTCTCCGGACTAACCTCTGTGGTTTCCGCGTTCTGTATCCTGCATTTCACCTACACGTTCCCGCCTTTGCTCGCGACTATGTTCTGGATCAAGGAAGCCGCAATGGGAGATGGAGAGGGGTTTGACCCTGTGTCAGGCAACACAGTGCGGCATGATAGAGGTGCCAGACGTTTAATCCGTGGCTTCTTGGCCCAGAGCCCCAAGCGGATGATCTTTAGTATCTGGAACGTCTTTTACTTCCTTGGTGCCTTGGCTCTGGCAGGCCTTGGTGCTTATTCCGCCATCACGAGTCTGATGTCGGCGTACCAAAAGAGTGTGACGACTTCATTTACGTGCACCAGCCCATTGGATGGGTGAGTGATTTTACTGGCGAATATATATATTCGGGAAGCTTTGTTATATGTGATTATGGGGCGGTTCAATCATTCGTGCATGTGTATTCGACGACCAAGTTGTATTTAGTTTCAGGTAGCTGTAACAAAAGTCATTGTGCTAGAATGTATAAATTCACGATTCTCTTTTGACGTCGGCAGATATAATACTCATATGGAATATGCCCCCAGGTCCAATTCGCTATTTTTGACGGATCACACTCGGTCTGATATTCAGGTTGAGGACGTGCTAAACCCCTTTGGCGGAAGGCGTATTTCACCGAGACCTTGAACCTGCCAGAAGTAGGTGAAATCAGTCGATCCTCGGGCGCCAGACACCCCAAGCAGCTCTACGCTGTTCGTCCTGCCGACCACTATGTCCAGACATGTAGCTTTAAATGCATCCAAAAGACGCGACGAATAAATGGAAAACGCGCATGCGTAGGAATTAGGGGGAAAAAAAGAAAAAAGAAAAAAGAAGCCCACCCCCCTTCCGGCTCTGCAGGTAGTACAGTAGAAGACTAACGAAGAAAGCGAGGACAATAGCGTAAGACGGAAATAGTAATAGTGATGTATGTGAGAACGGAAATAGTAGGGGCAACATTCCATTGACGAAATAGAAATATGTTACTAAAACACCCCTACATTCTTCAAAAAAAGCATCTTGATGAAAGCGGCAGACACCGTACAACCTCATGAAGGGGAAGAATAAGAGTAAAGAATCGGGTTAAATCCGAAACATAAACAAAGCAAAATAGATAAAGGAACATCTATTAAGAAACTTCACTATATACACAATACCTCGAGCTAAGGACGAACGATATGAACGTATACGGGACGGGATCCTTACGATAACATAGAACAATGAACGTATGCAGGAGACAATGTTTGCTATACTGTAAGAAGTTTTGTGAATAGGCAACGAAGACGAATATGAAGTCGATACCACACTCCGCTTTCAAGCAAAGAACAAAGGGCCAAAACACGAAGGCTGTGTGGGACGCTTTCGACTATAGGAGAAGTTCATGCAAAACGACAATTGGGAATTCCCTTCCTATGAGTTTGAAACGCATTATTGGGATGACCTTGAATATCAGAATGGAGCGCCCATAGACAACGACGCGAGCCAGGGTAGTGAGGAATAGTCGCAGCAGAACGTTTCAGCTATGGAAGGGTTTCTACAACAATAAACAGAAACGCCTTACAGGATATGACAACAAAAAGCAAAACTTTTCATTAGCGCTGTAGGTCGGTCTATCATAAAGGGGGACGAAAAAAAAGGAATACGAATCACCTAATAAATGGCAGAAGTCGATGTAAAATTGAAAGTAAAATTAGTAAAGGAGGAATTCCCAGAAAGCAGAAGTCCAAACGTAAACATGTATAGAGCAATAACTAACTCAACAGACGTATGCAGTGGGAGAAGACAAGAGCGAAGACGCATAAGCAGACCAAAGGTTAGAGTCAGCATTGTACCGAATGAGACGTCAAGACGCAACGGTTTGGAAGTGCACTCATACAGCATATTGAGGGGGACCCATGGGTTGACGCATACGGAGCGCATGCATACGGCAGATCGAGGGCGACCCACTGTTTCGAGCGAAGACGTCGATGGAAGACGCATACGGAGCGCCAAGGCCAACACTCAAGTCGTGAGGGCGACTCAGTTTGAGGTACTATAGCAGATAAAACCAAAAACGGGTTTCCTTTTGAGTTTATAAGGAAAAGCCACTCCCGAAACTTGCGTCCAAAGAATGTAAGCGTTGAACTAGGCGCCCGCCATGATTCTCCTCAATTCCAAATTTTCGCACACGAGATGGCTTTTTTTCTTAATGATCAGTTTTACCTTGTGTATCGCACTATTCGGTTTTCCTCGGCGCTCACCGATCTCAGCGATATACCGAATGCGCGAGAGTTATATTCACCCTGACAACTACGCCCAGCCTACCTCGAATCTAAATTCAGGTGCCGCTCCGACTGGCACCCCAAGTCCCCAGGCTATAAAGAAACTCCCGACGAGCCGCTACGCGGTCGCCATATTTATTGGAACAGAATTTGACGCAAAGGAAGATGCTGAGGACGACGAACATTTGTACTATGTGGGAGCTCGGACGTTGATTTATCAGCTGCTCCATGCAAAGCGTACAAAATTCAGCAGTCCAGTTTCTGTTGTGGTTCTGGTCACTAAGGGGGTGCGCGAAAGCAAGCGTCAGCGACTACGGGATGACGGTGCGATAGTAGTCGAGGTTGCGGATATGGAACACTCCGTCGAGATTGTCGTCGGCCGTTATGCCGAAGTGTTCAACAAGCTACGAGTCTTCGATCCTAGCATTATGCCATTTGAAAAGGTGGTCTTGCTCGATACAGATATGGTCATTACTCGCCCTCTCGACGCAATCTTCGATGATCCTGCTGCTCAGCGCTTCCTAATCAATAGGAACGCGACAAGTGCACTCGCCCCCGGCTTGCCCCCGATGCCTGATAGCTATGTTCTAGCTTCGACGCCCGACATTGCGTATAGACCATATGGCTTTCCTCCTAACTTAACCGCTGAGGAGAAGCGTGACTATTTTAATGCTGGCGTGATCGTACTCTCACCTTCGACAGAGCTCTTCAACCTTTATCTTGCGGTCCTCGGCCGCACAGAGCTATTCGACGGCTTTTGGCCTGAGCAAAATTTGCTTAACTACGTCCACAGCCGGGATGGGCCGATGCCTTGGGGATCCCTTGATTTGTTATGGCATCTCTCAAGTCCCACTGCAGCTGATTTTGAGGCTGGCATGGCTATCCTTCACTGCAAGTTTTGGAATCCTGCTTCGGATCCGTGTCAGCAGAGTGCGATTTCTCGGCGGTGGGAAATGCAGGGATACTGGAGCGGCAGGGAGGAAAGATAGGCGGAAAGCTTGGAGGGAGAATCGGAAAACTTAAGAGTCTAGTGCTGGCCAGAAGACCCTTGCCTTGTAAATGTACAGAATTGTGTGTCTTAACTCCCGAGGCCGTAGTATATAAACCATTCTTTTTTTTCATGCAATGTAGTTATGAAGCATATCCTGATAATATTAGACTCCAAGTACCAAAAAGGCTATTTAAGATCCCATTACTTCCGTATCGGACCAATACCTCCAAAAACAAACAGACACATAAACAGGAAAATAAGACGTACAGAAGGCCTGCGTCAATTATATGGAAAGTCTCGCCTAGTACTACTATGTATACTACTATATTCAGAAGGATCACTCAAGTTGAATATATTATTTAGCTACATAAGTTAACTACCATCGCCGCTGCCCCCTTACTACTTTACTACCAAGGTACCGTTGACCACAGGACTTCAAGACAAACCCATAACAAAGAAACATGAAATTTGCAGTAGATCAGCTAGAGTACAGGAGAACAATCATGGGGAATGATGAAAACAGGAAAGAAGAAAAAGAAAAGAGCAGGAAAAAAAAGCCATCCATCATCAAGCTCATCCTCCACCCTAACTACTCACAACACTTGAGTTGACCAGGCAAGCAAGTAAGAAAAATAAGAAGCACGTGCCACCAACAAAAGCAAGCAACGCTGCAAATAGCTCCACCACTAGCATCTCGATCAACATCAACACCACATCACGCCCATTAGTTTATTGAAGCATTCAGCATTCAACATTCAACCTAATGGCCACCCGCCATAATAACCCCATAGTACCGCCGACTCATCTCAGCAGTCTGCATAATCCTCGCATCGCCCGTGAGAGGCAGACCTAGGACAGCAGAAGACTGGACAGACTGCACATCTTCTTGGGCAATCCAGCCGGCAACGGTCCGGCTCATCTCCTTAAAGGCAACGCGCTCCTCCAATCCCTCGACCCCAGAACCCTTAACACGATCACCCATAGCGACGAGGGCGTTCACCAGACGACTGAGACGCGTAGCGTCGCGACGACCACTTCGCGAGGTGACGAGGCTGAGAAAGTCTTCGTACACGCCTCCGCCGGCAGCCCAGCCGCGCATCTTGCGCTCGGGACCGTCGCCGAAGCCTGAGACCAATGCGTCAAGTGTTGCGTAGTCTCGCTCGATGATGGCTGTTGGGCCAACAATGCGGCAGAATGTTGCGTGGGCGTCGTTCCAGTGTCTGCCGCGGATCAGGCAGTCGACTTCGCGGGCGGCGTTGCCGATGTCCCGCGCGTAAAGGGCCTTCGCGACCCAGATCCAGGGCTCGGGAAGCTGGAGGGTCGTTGTCAGGAGGTGCCAGGTGGGATCGGGGGAGCCGTCGGTAGAGAGTGGGTCGGGGAGGTGTGCGGCGAAGCGGGCGAGGGTTTCTTGGACGGCGCGCTTGCGGTCAGTGGATTGGGAGAGGTGTAGGAGGACGAAGAGTGCCGAGGCCAGTTCGCCGCCTGCGCTTAGCTCCGATGCGTAGTCCCACACAAGGTGGTCGGTTTGAATTTGATCGATGTTGATCGCAGGGTGGTGTCCCACCACGGCGGTGAGGACATGGTGCAGTTGGAAGGAAAGCCGGTTGGTCAAGCGGTCGCCCGACACCGACTCCGGAAGGAGGGCGGCGGGGAGCTGGATAGGGGCAATGTGGGGGCGGGTTGCGGTGGTTGCCGAGTAGGTTTTGAGGAGTACCCAGAGTGGTGATTCGCGGCCAAGGGTATCAGAACCGGGCTGCAACATGACACGAGCACGGGCCCCATGCGACGGAGATGGGAAGGAAGGCTCCTGTCCAGTGGCCAGGTCGGCAAGATACTTGGAGACGGCGGCCTCAATTGGCTCATCCTCCGTGATGCCATACCAGAGACGAAGACCGAAGGCCTGGAACCAATCCAACTCGAAGCGCTCAGTGAAAGTGAAGGACGACGCCCGGTCCTCGAGCGCACCACCGGACCTGCCCTCGCTGCGGAGCGCATTGCCTGCGACCAGTTCGTACAGAGCACGAAGGGGCTCGTTTATCTCCGAAGAAACATTGCTCTGGTGCCACACCTCGACCTGGTTCGCCATATCGGCCCGCGTGGTAGCATCCCGGCCAATCTGTGCGACCACAGTAGCCAGGTGCAAGTTCTGGCTCTCCACAAGAGTCTTGCAAGCCTCCTCGACTCGGTGAGAACAGAGCAGGTGAACGGCGCGCTCTTCCGGGGAGCGGATGGACTCCAGATCATGAGCGTGTTTTTCGCGAATGATCCCCTCCCACAGACGAGTCAATCGATCCTTCTTGATGCGGTGCGCGAACTTGGTTCGGAGCTGTGGTGGCACACCCGCAGAGATGTCGTCTTCAATGTCATCATTGAAGAGGATATTGGTTAGCTGCCAGATCAATCGCTCGTCGTCGGATTGGGCACGGCTCGAGGGGGACTGAGTGAACTGGTGAAGGTCGACCTTGGCCAAACGAACCAAGGGCGCCCCGTCAATGCGATGAGTTTGAGATTGCTGCTGTTGCACCTCAAGCATTTCCGTCGACTGTGCCCGTTGCATGTCAATACTCCATCACCAAAGAATTACAACGGTAAAAGGAAACTTACATTGCCTTCTTTGTTGTACGTCATGAGCGCAACGTCCCTTCCCTCACTGACAACAGACAGGCGCTGAGTCCAGCGATCTTCCGCGCCGGACAGTACTTCCGAGAGGTCGCTCTTGGCGCAAACGATCGAGTCCATCGGGCCCCAGCGCGGCTTGAAGGAGTCATGAAAGGCCACGTCGGACTGGCTCATTTGCTTCGCGTCGCCTGCAAATGTCTTGGGTTGTTTGTTGTAAGGCCACTGCAAGGGAAAAAAGACGTTTTAGCTCAAATCTCAATTTGGGAAGCTATCTGTGTAGGGGGTGAAAAGGCTGGATGTGGTAGATACATGAGGAGGGCAAGACAGGATATGATCAAAGCAATGTGCAGGAGGTGGATGTAAAAGTGGACGTAAAAGCAATGTGAATGTGCAGGGATCGTAAAAATAGCAAGAAAGCAACAGGGGGCTCAAACCTCAATGCCTTTAGACTGCCGCCCAGAAGCCTTCAGTGGAGACGCAGCATGCTGCTTGCGTGGCTGCTGGAAAAGCGAATTCATCAAATCAATACTGTTCGAGAAGCCTTTCTTGGGCGAATCAGCCGATTTGGCGGCATCAGGCGACGCATCGTGAAGCAGAGTACGATCAGTAAACGCATTTGCCTGGATCTCACGAAGAGCGTCACGGTTCTGCTTTCGGGGACTGATAGTGCGCTGCAACTGGTCGGCCCAATCGCCACTGAGGTCGAGCCGGGGCTTGCCCGGGGTGCCAAAGGGCTTTGAAAGGGGCTGGGTGGTTTCCAGGTCACCGTCGGTGCGCTGGGAGTCATCCCGCTCCACGGTACGACGAGGGTTGGGAAAGGAACCCGCCATGTCCATTTCCTCATCCTCATCAGATCCAACTACCGAATCGCCGGACTGCTGGCTTTCGGTGACGACGTCATCGTCGTGCTCAGTAGTTGAACCCGTGGAGCCGTCCTCTAAAAAAGACTCAGACTCCGCTTCGGAACCCATCTCTTGGTCCTCGGCCTCCATTGCCTGGCTTGCGAACGAACCGGGGACGACCTTGCGCTTCTTGAAGTCAAAGGTATCGTCATCGACACCGGCCATCGAACCGACGAAGGACTCGTCGAGGGAGGAGAAGGTCGCGGAGTGGTCAAAGTTCGTGGAATGACGGGCCTTTGGGGTGCCAGTGTCAGGCGGGCCAGCACTTAAGGTGCTCTGGTTTAGGCTCTGACCTTCTTCTTCCTCATCGTAGTCAAGCCCATAGGTGGTAAAGTGGGGCACCTTGAAGACCCAGGTGCCGGTCTCCATCTCGTAGGTGATGAACTCGGTATCGGTCACCTTGCGAAGACGGTCAATGTGCTTGTCAAAGAGCGGGCCACTGGTGAGAGGCGAAGGTGACTTCCTGTCTCGGCCACGCGGCCAGGAGTTCTCGATCCGGAGGGTGGACGGCACATTGAGTGCCTTACCCATAGGAGGCTTGTTTCCGTCTTCAGGATAGACAGTGATCTTGCGAACGCCAATGTCAACAGTCTTTCCGAAGATATTGTCCAGATCGACAATGGTCAGGTCGACAGGTTCATTGAAGGTGACCTGACCGCAATTCTGACGACCGACAGTGAAGTCAACGACACGCTTGAGCTGGTCGCGGCTCATCTTGTTGAGCTCGGCACGCGAAGGCTTCATCCAGTACTCGCCGGGCTTCGGGTCGCCACCAGGAGTGAAGGACAGACGCTTGATAGTAGCATCCGTGGCGGGAGTGGTAGGTTCACCATTCTCTGGGACCACGGCAAGATCACGGCGAACGGATTCCATTTCGGAGCGGTCACCATGCGCAGTACCGTCAACGCCATTGAGGCTGCCGCTCTTACGGATTGAGCGAAGGAAACCAAGTTCCTCAGGAGTGGGCTCGGGGGTCGTGGACTCCACCTGAATAACCTCACCACCGGCTACGCTGGGAGAGGACGAGTCGAAGCTGACCTTCTTCTTCAGCTTGTCGGGCTGGGCGGCATCGTCTCCGTTGGTAATCGGAACAGGCGACGCGCTTGCGGGACGGGTGAACAGATCGCTGCGCAGGCTGCGGTCAATGGTGAGCCGCTTGAGGCTGCCGCTGTTGCCGCGGGCGCTGCCGGCAGTCTGAAGGGCGCCAGGGGACAGAATACTGTCGGAATCCGGATCGAAGGTCTTGCGAAGATTGCTGGTGGAGTAGCTCTTGCTAAAGCTTCGGCCAAAGCTGCCGTTGACACTGCCACGCATGCTGCTGCTACCAAGAAGACTGCTGCTGAGTCCTGATGGGGTGCTGGTGGCGCTGGAAGGAGAGCCATAGGTCGAGTAAGAGAATCCGTACCCCTGACGTTTGGGCGGCGTGATCAGACGATTGGCAGCATTGGGGGTGATCTTGTAGACAGGCAGTGGAGTT